AAAAATGCGTGGCTCCCGAAATACTTCTAAAATAGTTCTTTTAAAATATTTGATGTATAATAGTGAAAATTGGTATACAAGGGTTTTTTGTACGACAAAACGAACCATGGGCATAGTTTTACTGTAGCCGCTTGAGGGCGCCCTCTACTGTACCTGTAATGAATTAAAATGACCGAAAATTATTTCTTAGTGCAATTATTTGCTTTTTGAATAAAAAACTGATTCTTCGCACTTTTCAACATAAAAAAGCCTTCTTGTGAATTTTCGTTATAGTTAGCCGTTTTTGAGATATTTCGATTTTTAAGGTTCAATGCATTTTTTATTATTTATGATAAAATAACGTTAAAAAGTCAGTATCTCGATAATTTTTAGAAGTAGGCTGTGCCTGCAAATATTTTTGAAATTGAAAGCAGAATAAGGTTAAACGTCAATTAGTTGACAGTTAGTTTTGTTGTCTGTTGAAACCTGAAACGTTTTTTGCAATTGTGAATGCACGAAATTTAGTTTCTTTTACCTGTTTTTTTTTTGTAAGTTTTATAAAAATGCCATTTTTATTCTCCAATCAAGAGTTAGCGGATATTCATTTTGTGTAGTGCTTTGTAAATGGAAACGCAACAGAAGCAGCCAGAGAATACGCACGAAGATTTCCAAACAGACGACATCCAACTCGCTCAGTATTTGTAAGAGTGCATCGCCAAATAATTGAAAATGGTTTTGGAAATCTCCAAAGTGATCAAAACATAAATGTTCGTCAGCGCAGATTTACCCGTATGATTCTGCGTGAGTTTGATAGAGATCCGACCACAAGTGTTAAGAGAGTTTCTGGTGCCTTGAGAATTTCAGCAAGCCATGTTCACCGTGTTCTTAGAAATGACCATAGACGTCCTTACCATTTGAAATCTGTGCAAGGACTACAGCCAGGGGACTAAGAACGAAGAATCCCATTTTGTCAGTGGATTCTTGATAGAACTGATAATAATAGGGAGTTTTTGAGTAACGTTTTATGGACCGATGAGTCATGCTTCACTAGACGTGGAGTGGTAAATTTTCATAATCAACATATTTGGTCGCATGAAAATCCGCATGAAGTTCGGGAAAGAAATTTTCAGCATGAATTTAGTGTGAACGTGTGGATTGGTATCTACCGTAATCGACTATTTGGACCATACCTTTTGCCTGCAAGGTTAAATGCTGCGACCTTCTTGGAATTTTTAAAGGCTGAACATGGTTGTCCAGCTCATTATTCGAGAATAGTTAGAAACTGGCTGGACGAAAATTATCCAGAAAGATGGATCGGCCGTGGTGGACCAGTTGCCTGGCCTCCACGATCCCCTGACCTAAATCCATTAGATTTCTTTGTGTGGGGATTTCTAAAAGAAAAAGTGTACCAGACTCCCGTAACCACAAGAGATATGCTAATAGACAGAATCAGGAATGCATGTGATGAAATAAGGCCTTATTTGAATAATGCTATACCACGTTCGATCATTCGTAGATGTGAATTGTGTATTGAACAATTGGGTTTACATTTCGAGCAACTACTTTAGATTTTGTATGTTTGTCCTAACTATCCAATAGCATTTTAGTTGTAAATAATTAATTTAATTTGTTAAAAATAATATTGGGAAATTAAACAAATTAATATTCTGTTTTTTGTGTTTATTTGGAATTAGGAATTATTGCTGTGTTTAAAAACACAATCTAAACGATCATCTTCATTACCTGTAATGCCCAAATCTAAAATTTAAAAAAATATTATTTCCCCATAAATAATTAAAAATGCATCGAACCCTAAAAATCGAAATATCTCAAAATCGGCTAACTATAACGAAAACTCACAGGAGAGCTTTTTTATGTTGAGAAGTGCGAAGAATCAGTTTTTTTATTCAAAAAGCAAAAAATTGCACTAAGAAAAGATTTTCGGTCATTTTAATACACTACAGGTACCGTAGAGAGCGCCCTCTAGCGGCTACAGTCAAACTATGTCTATGGTTCGTTTTGTCGTACCAAAAAACCCTTGTTTACCACTGTTATACATCAAATATTGTTCGAAATATTTAAAAAAAACTATTTTTGAAAGTAAATTTAAACACCCTGTATTTCGGAAGCCACGCATTTTTCGACCCATGTTTATATAGACTTTTTGCATTAATTTTAAAAGTTCTATCGAATCTTAAAGCTATGCAACAATAAACTGAAACACCCTGTATAACATAGACAAAGGTCTCAATCGTCCGCCATTTACAAGTAAATTTTCTTGAACGGAAGAAAGCTTTTATAGCCCCTCTCACACAGAAGAGCCTGCGCTGCGACTTTCTTTGAATTTAATACAAAAGAAAAGAAAGTATTATATCCGCACACATTATCTAACAATTTTTCCACAGTAATATCAAGTAAATCCATGCCATTAGTTTTCATCGGCTGCATTTCTCTTAACGTTTTTTCTAGCCAAATAATTTCTTAAACGTTGGCAACAAATTTCATAAAATTTGATTAACAGGCGTATGCTGCGGGATCATAGTAAAAAATGCTACTTTATTTTTTAGAATCATCGCAGTAATGGGCGAAAAACAGAATCGCTTCAAATCGCTCCCACAATTTGTTTTAGTATTTTCCTAAATTTTTTGATCATTCTTGGGCATAGTCAAAAATTTTTTGAAACATTTTTCCACGTTACGATCAGTTTATGTCGTAGTCAAACAGTTTTGGGAGACTTCAGTATCCTGAAACTTCGTAAGGCACATTTTTGAGTTACATGTACCAATAGTGATACTGAAAGAGTAGTTCTTCTAGATCAAGGAGACCTAAAATGTATAGGAATTTCGAAGATGCTCATGAAAATATGTAAACGTATAGGTACGAGTAACTGCGAAGTAGTAAGTCAGTCACTCTACGTGATCTTTTGAACATGTGGGAGATTTGTTTTGCCAGACTTCTACTTTTTTTCTATTTCCAGAAACTCAACATATCTATCTCCATATTTGGGCCGGGAAATAGATATTTTTTTCCTAGAATCGAGAACTATCGATACTACATAAAAAAGAAATAAAAACAATTTTGTATAGACTTATATTTTTGACCATTTTGCTCCCATAAACATTTGTAAAGGAACATGTAATGATATTAAGACTACTTTCATCTTTTGCAGAGAATGCTTCGAAAAATCTGTCACGTCTTTCCAAAACCTTGATGGTTCTTCAACTAGGGGAGAAGTGGCATGAAAGAGCCAGGTTTTGAAAGAGCCACTTGCATTATTTCGGTGGTTTAGGAACGAATTTGGTGGGTGATCTTATTTTAAGGTGGCAGCACTGATTTCCCGCCACCCACAAACATTTGACAGTTGGCTAGTGATAACAGGCGGCGGTACATCGAGTCAAAATTTTTGGCATCCAAAAGTAAGTATTTTGCTCTATCTAAGTAGTTTTTTGGCATTTTATTGCAAACAAATATAAGTATGTGGATTGTAGATTCAGTTTGTGCATATAATTGGCCTCGCAACTGCGTAAACACTAAGCGGCAAAAGGTTTTATATTGCTGTTATTTTGAAGGTTATATATTTTTTACCAATAAGTTATGAAAGAGCCGGGTGCATAGGCCTTAAAAGAGCTGGCTCTTTCATAACCGGCTCTTTTATAACCCTATATTTAAGTTTTAGTAATAAATTATTATAATAATAAATATGCATTTTTATATATTATTAAATTATTTGCTTCAGATACTGCATTATGGAGAAGGCTGGCTCAAAAAAACGAAAAAGACCCGAAAAATCGGTAATTGAAGAAGCAGTCAGTGAAGTTTTGGAGAAAGGTCAGTCCATAAACAGAACTGCACTTGCCTTAAACATGAACTGCACTTGCCTTAAACATATCGAGGGCTTACTTAGCTAAAATCGTTAAAAAAGTAAAGACGTCTGGCGATTCATCATATGAACACTGTCCTAATATAGGGAACAGGCGTATTTTCACAACAGAACAGGAGAATATGCTTGCAGATTATTTAAAGACCGCATCTAAAATGTGCCATGGCCTAACAAGACGTCAAGCAAAGAAGCTAGGATTTGATTATGCCGTAGCCAATGATATCTGTCCACCCAAATGGAAAGAAGTTGAAACTGCGACTGATGATTGGCTCAAAGGGTCTATGAGCAGACACACAGAGTTAACTGTGAGAAAACCTGAAAGCACTTCTCTATCCTGTGCAACAAGTTTTAATAAAGCTAATGTAAGCACACTTTTTGAGAAATTAAACACTGTTTTACAAAGATACAAATTTCCTCCTCATAGGATTTTTAACGCCGATGAAACAGGCTGCAGCACCGTCACCAATCCTCCTAAGGTCATAGCTGAAAGGGGTTCGAAACCTCAGCCGAACGAGGAACATTGGTGACAACTCTGTTCTTTATTAATGCTGCTGGTGGTTTTTTGTCGCCCGTTTTTGTGTTTCCTAGAGTAAATTATAAAGATATTATGTTAAATAATGGTCCGCCAGGAGCCCTAGGATTGGCTCAAGTTTCTGGATGGATGACTGAAGACTGTTTTGTGAAAGCGGTTGAACACTTTGTAATACATGTCAGGCCTTCAAAAGAGAATCCAGCATTGATATTAATGGATAATCACACCTCTCATGTAAATCTCAGAGTGGTTGAATTTGCCAGACAAAACTCCATCATAATAGTTACATTCCCACCACACTGCAGTCATAAACTGCAACCACTAGATATCACAGTATATGGGCCTTTCAAAACTAGGTACCGCACTACCATGAATGAATGGATGTTGACGAACCCTGCAAAAACAGTTACTATTTACCAAATTGGGCAATTTGTAACATAAGCATATTTGCCAGCTTTCAGTCCACAGAATATAACACAAGGATTTTTGAAAACAGGAATTCATCCATTAAATTCTAATATATTTAGTGAAGAAGCATTTTTATCTTGATATGTGACTGATAGACTTGATCCGCAGTCAAACGATGGTTTGAACTTGTATAAGGAAAGTATGGAAAGAAACTTAGAAACAACACCTCCATCTTCTACAAAATCGCTTGAAGTTGGCGAAGAAAATGAGCTTCTAACAGATCAGAATATCAGACTCTCTCACCGTTCAACCTCCACCCCCACGGCTGCAAATCCGAGTCAACGAATTATATCACCGGAGATGATAAGACCATTTTCTAAAGCGGGGCCAAGACAAAACACGAAACGAAATAATAGAAAAATGTCATCTGCTATTGTAACCGACTCTCCCGAAAGGAAAAAAATAGAGGAGAAAGAGTATAGTGCAAATAAACCAAAAGTTACTGTTAAGAAAATGACTACAAAAGACTCCATAAAAACGCTTAAAACAAAATCAGAAATAAATAAAGAAAATTCCGTTCTGCAAGATGACTCTGATTCGTCTGACTCTATCGTATTGGATGAATTAAAAACAAAGGGTGTTCGAAGCAAAATAAACCCAAAGACAAATAACAATAGTGATGATTGTGTAGTTTGGAGCAAAACATATAAAGACAGTGATCAAGATTGGTTTCAGTGCAAAATTTGTTCTGGTTGGGCTCATGAATGCTGTGGTATTAAGGGGAACCTTAATTTCTTTTGCAAGACATGTTTCTAATTTGAAGAATACGCATTATATTCTGTTCTGATAGATTTAACGATTTTGTTTTTGATAAAAGATGTTGTTTGTTGTTTTATTTAATTTCAACACTGTTATTGATAAAAAATAATCCGCCTCTAATATGTTAAGTTTATATTTATCATAAAATATGATTAGTTTTTAAAAAGAATTTGTTAGAATTGTCTTTTCATTTGTTTTTTAATAGTGTATACTTATTAGTTTGTATAATTTTCACAATTTCAAGTTATAATACAAGCTGGCCCTTTCATTACTTTTAGTGGCTCTTTCAATACCGAAATGTTATGAAAGAGCCAAATCACACATTTTTGAAAAACGTATATTTCATTGGTTTTATATACCGTATTTTAGATTTTTTTGTATGAAATATATACTTTAATAAATAAATAATAGTTTGACTAAAAAAATAATCATTTCATTCATTAAAAGTATATTTTTTGGCTACGTCTATAAAACTGGCTCTTTCATGCCACTACTCCCTAATTATCAAACAGTTAACGAGGTATAAGTCAATTTTCTCGAGTTAATGATATCCGAATATTTAAGGATGTGAATCTACATGAAAAATTCATTTTAGTATGCTTTATAAACAATGGTCCAAAAATTTTTCCGTACAAAAACTCGGGGTGTTGAAGTGTTAGGAAAAAATGGAAATTAATTAATATGTTCAGAACCGCTTCAGATATTTCACTGATATTTAGTACGTAGTGAAAGTTAATAAAGTTGCATATTTTTCAATAAAAAAATAATTTTTAGCTTTAACAGTGACGTGCGTACGGGTATTGACTTTGATATTTTTTAAGAAACAAATGGTACGCCAATGGTTTTTTGCCAAATAATTTTTTTTGAATTTGCCGTTTAATTTAAAACAAATGATCTCTCTTGAATTGTTTTCCTTCGATGCGCCATTTTTTGATTAAAAAAATAAAAACCGTTCTATTGTCCGGGACAATTAATGTAATAATTGAAGAATGCAATTTAGCAATAAGTATCTAGTTGCTCTGGAATATGTCACTGACTTTTGACATTTGACAAGTCTCTGTTATTCAAATCTGTTCGCTGTGACATCTATTTCATTATTTAGTTCTTACAATCTTGCTAATAATGGTGAATTAATCAAATGCAGAAATGGCGGAAATGCATTACGTATATGTATATGGCCTTGCCGACGGTAATGGTGAGCAAGCCAGACGGATTTATCATCAGAAATATCCCGATCGTGCTTTGCCAGATAGTCGAACCTTTTCTAATATTCATCGTCGTCTTGTTGAATCTGGTTCTGTCCGATAAGGAACATCTGAAGGTAGACCTCTATGTGTGAGAACACCTGAAATTGAGGAAGCAGTGCTGCACGAAGTCGAAGAACATCCTGAAACACATACGAGGAAGATCGCTAGACACTTAAATATTTCCCATCAAATTGTTTGGAGAATTTTAGTGGATTTATTGTTATATCTTTATCACATTTTAAGAGTACAGGCATTACTTCTTATTGATTTTCCAAGGCGTGTGACCTTTTGTCAGTAGTATCTTCAAAAAATTACACAAAATCCGCAATTTGAATGAATGATTCTGTTTACGGACGAAGCTAATTTTTCTCGAAGTGCCATTCAGAATTTTCACAATAATCATTTGTGGGCAGAAGAAAATCCCTATGCCGTAACCGAAACCCATTTCCAACACCAATTTTCGGTTAACGTATGGGCAGGAATTATTGGCAACCACTTGGACGACTTGACTGTCAGACTTACCTCAATTTTCTTCAACATCAGTTGCCTTTGCTGCTTGATGATGTTCCGTTAGTAACAAGAAACAATATGTACATACATGCTGGTGCATCAGCGCATTTCAGTGTAGCGGTTCGTAGTTATTTACAAACTGTTTATCCAAATCGTTGGATTGGCCGCGGTGGGCCCAAGAATGGGGGGATCAGAAGATACGATCACATTTCGGAAAATTTTTAGTAACTGAATGAATCAATATATAATACTGATTAAAAATTTCTGCGATAAAATTATTACACAAAAAAGACCTACCTACCTGCATAAAAAAACTAAATGTCGATTAGAAGTTCACAATATTAAGATTAGATCCAAAGTTCTCATCACTCCTCCTATCCAATAAAACCACTATATCCGAAAGGAGCTTCAACTAATAAATAGCTAAGGAACATAACAACATATCTCAGGAGTTTGTTGGGCTGAGATAACTCCTATTTAAGAATACAATTAAAACCTATATTCTTCAAAAAAAGCAAGAATGAAATAAGATTACTTTCATATTCAGTGTTTATACTTTAGTTGATTCAGGGAAACATTCAACTCATACCTTCTATTTTTATTTGTAACATTTTTTAGTATCTTTGTCAGGTTAAGTGGAAGAGCACGCAATACATAACTTCCGCCTTTTGGTTAACCCAATAGAGACATTTATTATTATTATTTATCTTTGCTATTAACAATTCAAGATGTCAATGCCCCGGATTGGCCTTTATGTCCACATTTGCTTAATCTAGATAGAGAGGTAGCCGCCACTAAACTCAATTCGTTAATTAATTCTACTACACTACAACTCAAGTCTGCTGAAGTGTTGGAGCATTTACTTTGCATAATTCATGAGCGAGTCCCTTGTCTTGGATTCTCAAATAATGGGTTCAACAGTGGCGTAAAAGTGAGGCATAAATACGGTATATCGTTTTATGAGAATCTCCGTGTTTCCGGTGGAAAACTGCGCGATAAATCTAGAATGTGTTGCTGCAGTATCCTCCTCCTTCCTTTATTTCTTTATGACGGGGGTCTTTGCTCTATATATGCGTAATCGATGGAAGGTACACGATCCAATTCAGGATGAAGGTCGTACGAAAAAGTAAATCATCTACCCGGTGTCAAAACAGGCTATGCGGAGTTTTCCATAGATACACTGTTTTACTTAGGGCTAATCGAGCTGCCAATCATCGGCTTCAGCTAGAATGTTTCTATAAAAGTGAAATTGAAAATAATTGAAGCATCCATCTACCGAGTACTAACGTATGGACTCACTGCTGTGCTTCCACACATAAGTACAAGTGGCATGCTTAACTTAAAGATGTGCCTTGAAAAGATATACCTATATTCAGGGTGACTTCGAAGTTGAGTCATTTATTTTAACAGTGAGTAGATCCGATCAAAAGAAATGTTTTTTCCTTTAACATTTTTGTGGTAAAATTAAAGTAACAAAGTTATAGCCCTTTAGAAGTTTGAGTACCGCCCTGTCTCAATAATAATATTATGTGCTCGTGTTTGGCAACAACGGATATAATCCGCCTTATCGGTTCATCGCATCGGAAACAAAAAAGCGAAAGAATTTGAAACGCTTATCACGATGTTTTTACTACAATTTTATGCAGTTGTATTCAGTCAATGTGTCAGTCGGTAACGCGTGAGTGAATAGTGGTGTTTGTTGTGTGGCGCAAACGAAATAAAAAATGGCACATGTTTAGGAAAATGCTGAACTTGTGGACATGATTCTTATTTACAGGGGGGGGAGTCTTTACAAAATGCTGCCGCGGCATCACGGATTTATGCGGATCGGTTTCCCAATCGAGTGCAACCAACCCCTCGTGCCTTTGTTAATGTAGTACAAAGGGCTCGTGAATCAGGTGACTTAAGACCTCACAGGTGAGGGCATGCCGGTGCTCCAAGACCGCACGATCAAGTACAGGTCCGCACTGAAATACTTGTCGGGAGGATACTTTATCAAACAAGGTAACATTTTTATTTTTTTTTTATTTTTACACACATATTTTGGTTTATCTTCCTTCTACAATCATTATCTGAAAATTAATGACTCAACTTCAAAGTTCAAAGCTTGTAGAAACTCGTCACAAGAAGTTGATATAGCAAAAAGCACCTATATAAAAGTTGCCACTGGCAAAATGCAACTCTTGTAGGATGATCTTCTAGTTGTAACGTTTGTACCCGTTGATAATGATAAATATAATACTGTCGTATTGTCTTCCACGCTTTACTAAGAGAAATTTTAACTTGAGCTGCTATGGCTCTAGTACTCATTGTTGGGTCGTCTTCGACCATTTCTAAAATGTCTTCCTCAATTTGTAACGTTCTCTTAAATATCTTGCGTCAAAAAGTCTAATAACTAAATTTACAAACATCCTGATGATTTCTAGAAGAAAACCTTTCCGCATACAACCTGCATGCTGCGTCTGCATTTTGATGGACCATTTTTTAGCATATAATGATTAAGCAAATGAAAGTGTACGCACTATCAAAAGACTGATCGAACCAAAGACTCGTACTGAAAACCATATAATAACACAAAAAGATTGCCAAATTCAGATAAACGATAAGTGTAACAAACAAAAAAAAAAAACGCTAAGATTATGTTCCCTCCTTGTGGAAGCAAATATTCAGAATACATAATGTAGTACCCTCATATCTCACCATACTCACGATATCAAAGCGCACACGCTATTTACTTCGACGAGGACATCACATAATTAAGATCGAACATCACTTACAGGTAAGCTCGTTTGATCATGTCATTTTACCTGACAATATCGGAGAATATCACAAAAATTATGTAATAACATTCTTATATTTTAAATTTTCAATCTTTTACTATTTCTTTTATTATGCAACTTTTATGTAGGTGCTTTTTGGTATATCACTCCTTTTGACGAGTCCTATAAGAAGTTAAAATAAATGACTCAACTTTGAAAACGCCCTGTATAAAAGAGCCGGACAGTTCTCCTATTGCATCCCAGATGACATATTTTGCGAGATGCTACAGAAGGACATTATGGCAACACGCCTGGATCAGGTCCACAAGAAATTTCTTAAAAACACCGAGGAAGACAAATGAGTGAAGCCGATTTTGAGCAAAGTAGATCAGCCAGCCAAGCACGCGATGTTAAATCCAGTCTCAAAAACTCAAGCGTCCTATGCACTATACATAATTATAACAAAACTTTCTAAGGTTTTACCCTACGTCCCATATCCTCCTCCTATTTCACCCCTTTTCTGAGAAGTACTTATTTTACATGTATACAGAAGCAATATATTTTTGTTACTTATTTTTATATATAAGAAAAAGGCATCATATCTAACACAATCTACAGGGTGTTCCTTAATGATATGCGAATATTTAAGAATATGAATCTACATGAAAAATTAATGTTAGTTTGCTTTATAGACTATGGTCCAAAAACTCGGGGTGTTGAAGTTTTATGAAAAAAAAAAATGAAAATTAATTAATATTTTCCTTAAACTTCAACACCCCGAGCTTTTGTAAGGAAACATTTTTGGACCATAGTTTATAAAGCAAACTAACATTCATTTTTCATGTAGATACACGCCCTTAAATATTCGCATATCATTAAAGAACACCCTGTAAATAAAATAAAGGTTTTAGATTAAAATATAAAGAGGCCCTCTACTTACATCACATCAATGCTGGAGACCTCAACCGACCTCGAGTGAGCCGGATAACTCTGCGACAGCCTCATGGCACTCTCCCTTCCCCTTTCGTACTGCTGGTACTGCTGTGCCCAAAAGTCCCCGGGCTTCGCCTCTACGTGCCTCCCGGACTGTTTTTGGCTGGACAAGCTGGGACTCGTCGACCCGCGCACCAGGACCTTTTGTCTCTCCTTGCTCCCGCCCCCGCCGCTGCCTACGTAGTAGACCGTGAAACCGTTTGTTGACAGATCTTTGGAAGAGGATTTCTCGCGTCTGTCCTCTTCTTTGGAAATGCTGTTGTATCTGGAAAATTCACGATGGTAAATAAGTGATAGATGCAAAATCCTTAGGCTCGTGACGGAGAATCCGCAACGAATTTCATGGAAGAATCCTCAGCGCGAATATAATCGCATCATTTACGTTGTATTTTCATTATTGAAAAGGATAAAATGTTAGTGCTGAAGAAGAAAAACAATTTAGTATCGTAGTAAAGAGCTTTGTGATAATTAAAACAATATAGCGGATAATGCTGCACACAGGTCAGTAAAAACAGTAATGCTGCTCCTCAGCCTCCTTACTAGCCTGACTTGAAGCCTTGTGACTTTTTCCTCTTCCCAAAGTTTGAAAATCTGAGGGCTATTCCAGTACCAGCACCGCTTTGAGGAGTGGAAGAACGGTCTCCAGCGCTGTGCCGCTTCAGTAAGAAGTTATTTTGAGCGTGACAATATAAAACTGAATAAACATTTTTTTTTAAATTTTCATGAATGACTTAATTTATAGACCTCGTACATGTATCACTCGGTGAAGTAGATACTATAACTGTATTTGCACTATTATGTACCCATCGAAGAAAGAGGCCAAACCTAAACATATTCACGTCTACTCCACGTGATCGCGATCCAGAACGCCGACCACGTTACAGGGTCGTACTAAGAATACATGATTTGTGGTTCTACAACACGATCAAAAAGAATGCAAAATTATTGCAGGCATGTATAGGGTCCAAACGGAAAGCTTGGAATTAATGTATTTTTTTAATTTAACTGTCATGACCAAAAAGGAAACAACTTGGTTTTAGTAGAAGTGTTTTATCAAGAAATTATACTCCAAATATGTCGCAAGGCACATTTATAAAGCAGGCTTTTAAAAAATGTCTTGACACATCGAAACGATAATTGCATATGCATACAAGTATACCTAACCACCGCTTGAACAGGGACGTCACTGTGCAAACAGTTAATTTTAATATTAGACTAAAAAATGAATAGTTGGGTGGAGTTGAAAGAAAAAGGACTTGAATACATAATAATACATACTAAAATAAAAATCATTCTAGATCTGAGGCCGTGGAACTCCCACTGTTATCAAGATTTATGATTGAAGGGGCAACTAATTCCCACATTTTAGGTTCGGCCTTTTCTTTTACATGCTGATACATTTTCCCACTTATTCGGTGTTATCACACGAGTACATTTTAGCAACTTCATAAAGAAAGCTTTTTCATCATGGCGGGACATGTATATACCTCAAAGCAGGACTAGAATACAATAATCTAGACTATTTGAATGATATTTCAGTTGATAAGCATTTCGAATATAGTGGAATTCAAGTTATAACCGAAAACCTCAATTCGGTTATTGTTTCTCTGTATAGAAGTCCTGATGCCGATTTTAAAATTTTTTTAGAAAAACTTGAAGACCTTTTAAATATTTTAAACATTAAATGTAAAAAATGTGGTATTGTCCTTTGTGGTGATTTTAACATAAATTTTAACAAAAACTCTGTAGATTTAAATTGTCTGTTGGATGTTTTAAGCTCATATTCACTGAAGCCTGTTATCAAACAACCTACGCGAGGATCTAATTGCATAGACAATATTTGTGTAGGGGTGGATGTAAAGTGTGATACTGCTGTAGTAAACAATAATGTTAGCGATCATTTTGCTCAATTATTAACTCTATACTATCAAAAAGATGAACAGCCACCTCAGATTTCCTACCAGTACCAAGACCTGTATAATAAATCCAACATCAACAATTTTTTAGCTCTCCTAGGTCAAGAAACCTGAGACCACATTTATCATTCCACTGGGGATATTAATGAGAAGTTTGATTTATTCCTACAAACGTTTCAGTATTACGTTGACATAGCATTCCCAGTTATAACCAAAACCGTAAAAGCAAGAGTCAGAAAACGATGGATTTCAAAAGGTATCCTAATATCAAGAGATAAGCTTCACTATCTGTATAATTTGTCTAAGACGGGAGATGTATTTCTTATAGAGTTCTATAAAAAATATAAAATGGTATATGCCAGAGTTTTAAGAGCAGCTAAGCGACTATATTACAACAAAATTATACTAAATGCAAAAAATAAAACAAAAAGTGCTTGGAATGTAATAAACGAGAACAGAAACACACCTAAGCACGAAATCATCAACTTAAACATACATATATAAAATAAAATAATAACCGAACCAAAAGAGATTACCGAAAAATTTATGCAGCATTTTAATGATATTTCAGGCTCCTATGAACGTAATGGAACAGGAAATAATGGAAATAATATAGATAGAAACAGTCACTCTTTCTATTTTCAACTCGCTGTAAGTTGTGACATAATATCAATAGTAAATAACCTTAAAAACTCCAACTCTACTAGAGCAGATAAAATTAGTGCAAATATTTTAAAAATGTCATCTAGTATCCTTAGCCAACCTCTAGCATTTCTAATTAATTCTCCCATTGAGGAGGGGACATTTCCAGATAAACTTAAAGTTGCAAAAATTAAGCCCTTGTTCAAGTCTGGTGATAACCACGACATCTGTAATTTTAGGCCAATCTCCCTAATCAGTCCCTTTGCGAAAGTATTTGAGAAATATGCTGCCTTACAAATTGTCAATTTTTTTGACAGTTTCAAATTATTCAATAGCATACAGTTTGGATTCAGAAAAGGTCTGTCAACCAAAAACGCTGTGCTTCATTTTCTTGATGAACTGTATTTGAAAATGGACAATAGCGAAAATATTTCTTGACTTGAGTAAAGCTTTTGACTTAGTTGACCACGTAATACTTTTGGATAAATTGGATAGATATGGAATCAGAGGTAAGCCATTTGACTGGTTTCACAGTTATCTAAGCAACAGAAAACATTATGTTGAAGTACTGACTGCACAGTCTGACCAGCACCTATATCATACAGGGGTTCCACAGGGTTCCATACTTGGTCCTCTCCTATACATAATATATGTCAATGACTTTCCCGCCAAATCCTCGGTAGTGTATGCTGATGATACCTCATTACTTATTAATGGAAAAAACCTGGAGTCAGTGATAAGAAATGCCAACACAAGCTTAGCTAGTGCAGAGCAATGCTTCATTAATAACGGCCTGGACTTAAACCACAAAAAGACAGTGTTTTTGAGATTTAACTACTCTAACATGCACATGGATCGTAGTCTTCTTATAAAATCAAGCGGTAGATCCATGGAACAAGCAGAAACTATAAAATTTTTAGGAATATACATATGGCAAGACTGCAAATGGGATACGCATATATAGAAAGTTAGTCAAAAGATTACCTCTCTTTGCTATTGCATGTACCAGCTGAGTTTTATCGTTGATAAGTGGATATTGTTAATGTTTTACCATGCACATGTCCATTCTACTCTGACTTATGGAATAGAAGCATGGGGAGCATCCTCCAAGTTACAAAGGCTTCTTATATTACAAAAAAAAAGCTATTAGAACTATTGCAAAGGTGGGAAGGCGCTTTAGTTGCAGGCAACTATTCACAGATTTGAAGATTTTGACGCTGCCTTCAGTATATATATTGAATATATTGATTTACGTCAAATCTCACCTGAACAATTTTAGTTCTATAAATTCTGGAATTTATAATACCAGAAACAGAGAAGTATTGGAGGTGCCGGCACATAGGTTGTCTAGAACGGAGGAGAGTGCCAAATACATGGGAATAAAACTCTTCAACAAACTACCCATTGATTGTAAATCACTACCGCTGATATTATTTAAAAAAAGAATCAGGCAAATTTTACTTGATAAAGCTTTCTACTCTATAGAAGACTTTTTAATGAGTGATAGTCTTTTTTAATTATTTTAATGTATTGTTCAATTTTAATTTGTATTTTAATTTGTTTTCATGTTTATACACTTCGTGTTTTTATTTGATGTTTTGAAGGTTATTTATGTATGTAGGCAATTCTGTTTATACAAATATTCAATTGACTTATCCTATATCACTTTGTGATCCACAGGATGAATAAATTATTATTATTATTATTATTATTATTATCCTTTGTATAGCATCATGAAAAACATTTTAAGGTCAGAAAATTTAAAACATTTATTTTCTGCTGCAACATATTTTTTTATGTCTGCCCAAATGAGCTCAATCGGATAGAGCTCACAATGGTAAGGAGGCAGCCGTAAAACAGTTTTATTTTGTTTTTTGGCCAGTTCATTAATTATGTTCAGGTTATATTTATTTTTATGCGTCTTGACAATTTGTAACAATTCTGTCTTAACCGTTGTATCATCATAATCAATCTATTTATTTTTAACCCATCTTTGAATTTCTGATTGTTTTGTTGACGTTGTTGGAATTTTCTATAATTTTCTCGTGTGGAATGAAGCATTATCTAATACTATAACCGAATTATCTTCAAGCTTCGGTAGAGTATTTGAGAACCAATTTTCGAACGAGGCTTCATCCATTGCTTCATGGTAGTATCCCGTTTCTTTGGATTGAAATGCCCATAAAGCAAATCCAACTTCATTACCGATGTGGCAAATTATCCATCGTTTACGTTTTCCTAAAAATAATTCATTTTGGACACTTTAAAACCGCTCCTATTGAAAGCATTAAAAACTCAACAAAATGATTGCTTGATTTCTTATCTCGATGTAGATTATGCATGTATAAAAATAAAAATAAAATATGAAATTCCTCGTCTTACAAGTATTGAAATGTCAGCTTTGCAAACAATGTGCTGAACACTTGAGTCACTCCTTCCTTGCATTTCGTATTTATAAATGTTGATAGTTATTTCTTTTTCGCAAACGCTAAAATTAAGCATTTTAGCTCTTTTTGTAGGCGGTGTGCAGCTTATATTAACGACTTCATCAGCTGTATCCGTATCAGACATTTTGAGTTCTACCAAATTAAACTGGCAAATCTAATAGGCACACAGTAATACCAGTATAAATCTGATGCCAGCTCTGTACTGTACCGCCAGCCACCGGGACAGCCGCCATGCACGGTCGTATCGTCTCCCACTCCACCCTCTGGTTTGTCATTGGTTTTGTGCACGGGCTCGACCTATTCTGCCCAATAACAGTTATACTCCCTCTCTCTTGAAATATATCAGTGTACTGATCACGCAATAATCACGCGAAGATCACTGTTTTGGTTTACTCTCTTCGATACATACATTTATTAACTAAAGAGCACACATTTTGATGTAACTTTATGTCTCAGTGCGAATAGAATTTTATATAACCTCTTCAGTCCAAGAAATTGTTTTATTTTCTTTTCTTGAAATTTTAGGTAAAATAACTTTGCCAGGACTCAAAAAAGCAAGAAAATATACAAGTATTTTACAAATAAACTTTCCTTCAAAAAAAAAATATATAACATGTCCAGTATTTTGGACAAATGGACTCAACTATCTAATTATGAAATTCAAAGAAACATTGCCTTTCTGGAGAAATATACTAAGTGACATATGAATCCGAACACCCAGTTTAAATGGTTTTATTTTAATAAAAGTTGGTGAATGTACTTATTTTACTGTAAATAACAAGTGAAAAAATGTTCAGCCTTATCAGTTGGACATTCCGGTTTTTATACTGCTTTTTTTTAATTCACTAACGCTCTAAAAATGAATATTTCAGCCGCAGTAAAGAATCAACTTTGGCGGATTATGGTTCTTGACATCCTTTACGATCGGTTACGGTGCCTAGAGTACGGAGACCTGTACGATTTCGTCAACTTAGTGAGTTTGATAGGGGCCGTATAGTGGGACTTCGGGAAGCTGGACCTTCTTTTCGGGCAATTGCAGTTAGAGTGCAAAGAAGTGTAGACACTGTGGTTAGGTGTTGTCAGGCATGGCTTCGAGAAGGCCGTACGCAAAGAGCAAGGGGCACTGGACGCCGCCGTAGAACAACAGACCGTGAAGATCGCCGCCTAAGATTATTGGCCTCAAGGGACCGTTTCTCCACTACCAGGTCCATTGCAAATGAATGGTTTGCAGAACACGGAAGACTTATTGACATGCGAAGTGTTTACCGACGAATGAGAAGTTTTGGCTTGTTTTCATACCGGCCACACTGGGTCCTTTAACTCGAGAACACCGACGTAATCGCCTTGAGTGGTGCAGACAATGGTCACTCTGGGATCAGGAATGGAACAGTATTGTCTTTAGTGACGAGTCTCGATTTCGTTTAGGCATGCACGATGGTCGTGCCAGGGTTAGAAGGCGACGTGGTGAAAGGAAGAATCCACAGTTTTTGGTTGAAAGACATGTTCATCACACTGTTGGAGTTATGGTTAGGGGTGCTATAGCTTATGGTTCCAGGTCACCTTTAATCTTCATCAGAGGTAACATGAACGCGCAGCGTTATATCCACGAAGTTCTAATAGAAACCCATCTTTTACCCTATCTTGACACCCTGGCAGATCCAACTTTCCAACAAGATAATGCCCGACCACATGTTGCAAGAGTCACTATAGACTTCTTTCAACATCATGATGTCACATTGTTTCCATGGCCACCAAGATCTCCCGACTTATCCCCAATTGAGCACGTGTGGGATATGATGGGTAGGAGATTGCTCAATTTGCAACGTCCTCCTCAGACTCTAGAAGCATTTCGAGAGGAGTTGGTGGTTGCCTGGAATGAGATACCACAGGAGGACATTGACCACCTGTTCAGAAGCATGCCTAGGCGCGTTGGAGAATACGTAGCACATTAGGGTGCATCCACACATTATTAAAGGTCAAAGGGCTTTAAAGCAGTGCAATCATTTTGAAATTTCTATCATTTACTTATTATGCTTCATTAAGTACTTATACAAAATTTTATTAAAATAAAACCATTTAAACTGGGTGTTCGGATTTATATGTCACTTAGTATACACAAATATATCTCACATTTTACACAGAAAAATCTTGTTTTTTTTTGTACAACCTAGATTACGGCAGCGCATATAGGAATTTTTGTTATTTACACTGCATATTGGTAAATGTTCATTACCAGTGGTCCTAACATCTCTTGCATTTTTTAGCAAGTCGGCTCGATTCTTCATCTGGGGTGGATGGTCTAGGATCTTGGGAAACTGTTGTTTGTGCCCCAAGCGCAAGACATTTTCCAATATACAGTTTGAATTCAAGTAAATCCATGATTGAGCTTTTCCTATCTCCACGAGCGTTGCAGTCTTGTCGGTATTCGATCCATGAATTTGTGATTGCTAGATCGATAAAATGCCAGAAAACTCTCACTGGCCATTTTTTGGTTCGCATACAGCATTCGATAATAAGATATTAGTCTATCACACAAGTCTACTCCTCCTATAGAATGGTTGTAACTAGTTACAGAATTTGGACATGGGACAAGAATATATTTTGAATTCTTTTTATCCCATCGACGTACGTCTGTTTGCGGTGCAGAACCTGTTGATGATGATGCCATTGTAACTGATCTGTTGTCCGTCCATTTAAGAATGGTACATTTTTTGTCTTCTCTCATGAATTCGTCGAAGGAACCGCGACCTTCTGAGAGCAGCTCTTTATCATTTTTCATTTTGTTTCTAAAATCTCGTGGAATCCGGTTGTACATAATTGTTCCCGTTCCCAATATTCCTTGTGTCAGTAAATGATCCAGTAGACTGACTGAAGTAAAATAACGATCAAAATAAATTATGTGCCCTGGTGACAAATTTACTGCAAGCTTCTTAACAACCGAACCACCTATTCCTAAATTTTGATCGAGAGAACCATCCGGCCAAGTTTTTGCACCTTGGTAAATAAAAAAATCTAATACGAGTCCAGAAGGTGTAGCCAAAACAAAATTTTTTAATCCTACAGGATTTGGCTTATTTTTAACATACTGTCGTAGAGATGTGGTACCAGTGAATGGGATCATTTGTTCGTCGATGCACAATTCTTTACTTCTTGGTAAAGTGACACATTTTCTACGAACCGCATCGATGATAGGTTGAACTTTCCACAGCCGATTTGACTTCTTTACCTCATTTGGAACACTAAAGTTATTAACAACGTGTAGAAAATTTCTTAATTTGAGAATATGGTCTCTTGGTAATTGAGTGATGCTGGATATTTCAATTCCCTTCATGAAATATAGCCGCAATCGTGGGAGTCCAAAAATGCCCATTAAAATATGTATTCCAACCAATGTGCGATATTCTTTGGCTGTTGACTTTAGAGGTTTCTTTTCGTTTCCCTGCATGGCACGAATATTACTTTGTTCTGCCAAATTTTCCCAAAACTCATCTGGGAAATATTCCAAAAAATAGTTCAGCGGTGACCAATACTCATGATCATCTTGTACCTGCCATTCCGGATCAAGGTAGACTTCTTCTCGATTTTCAAAAACTCCTCTTTTCCATTTTTCTTCTATTTTTTTGTTTTTGTTGTGCTTCTGAAGTAGCTGGTCTCTTATTTTGGACAAGGGTACATCATCGTCAGACTCCTCTTCAACGGTATCAGGAACTGGATTTGCGTCTGGCGGCTCAAGAACAGCCTCCTCGACATCACTTGCCTCAATTGTGTCATTGACTTCAGGGACGACTTCTTCCTCATCATCGCTCAAGTAGAAGTCACTATCATTTAGAATTGCCGCAAGATCTTTATCCGTCAGTATTTTCTTGCCAGCTTTGCGGAAAAAGAAACAAAATGATAACAATCAAATAGGGAAGCTCGTCAAAAATAAAAAAACTGCTTATAAACTTGAACCAAATAGAATCCCCATGTCCAAAATACTGCACATAATCAAAAACCGGTTGCTATGCAGAGATACCACACAATTTCTGTAGGTATATTACTTGAAACACTAAATTATAGTTATTTTATTTATTTCTAACTAATATTTTATCAAAACATTAGATTAAAATGCAAATATTACCTAGTTTCTGATACCACGCCATCCCTAACCTCAAAGCACGTGCACCGGCAAATTAAAACTGAAACAGCATCAACGTTGCCAAATATGTTTTACCGAAAATTTTACGGCGTATATTAGAACGTCCAGTCCGCTGCACAGCGGGCCGGAAATCCTACTAGTTCATCGTGAACCTCTACAGAAATATTACGAAAAATGTCCAGTGGGCTGGAGAGGATACATAAGCAGAATGACTTGCAGAATGTGCAATTCGTACCTGTGAGACAGCAGATTCTGTGCAGCAGCTCTTGATTTATTTCTATATAAAAATCCTGTCACCACTTCAGCCTCCCTCAATATCTCTTCACTAACGGCAGCCTCATTTTCCATTGATTGTTGTTTATGTCTGCAAAATAATAGAGAAAGGGGGTATGTATAATATCCATAAATTATTTCGCAGAAAGAACGCCATACCCTTTCGTTAAAGCCCGTACTTTGTCAAATAGTAAAATAATTCTGCTTCGAGGAAAACGCAAATGTAGACGTATGGTCTCTAAAGGCCGTCTGTTACGATACGAAATTTTGTGCGAAATTTCGTACAAAATTAAGGATAGTGTCAGTCAGTCAGCATTTAGTACCTAATTTTGTATGACTGTTAAATTTTGTAGAACCTGTTCTAAATAATGTCAGACTACGACTGCGCAATTGGAGCAGTACAATGGCTGATATAACCTCTAACGCTTTCAATAGTTGGATAGATACTGTATGTATTAGGCTTATTATTAACCATGAGCATTTTGTTATATTTTCAATTTATATTCCGCCTTCAATTAATTTGGACATGTTTGGTCAGTACCTTGAAGCTTTGGAAGTATTTAACAATGCATTCAGTAATTGTAAAATAATTTTTGCTGGTGACTTTAATGTCGCATCATTCAACAGTGACGTTAATGATCAGAAGTCTCAATTAATGAGCAACTTTATTTCGTTTTTAGATTTAACTAATTTTAATAATATTACAAATATAAATGGTCGAATACTGGATTTAATTTTAGGAAATATCGAAATAGAAGTCCTCAGAGATAATACAACTTCTGTTAAAGAGGACGTTCATCATCCTGCACTGATCATGGAATTCATTACATCCGGATCTCCAACGAAATTAACATTTGCTAATTCTCCACGGTTTAACTTTCCTGAAATGTACACCGCCTTGCAAGATGTTAATTGGACCGAGGTGATCAGTGCAGTTAATGTTGATGTCGCTTGTACCGCCTTGTATTCAGTTATCAGTAACATCTTTGAGGTCCATGTCCATAAATGTAAAAATAAAATGTTTTCGTATCCCCCATGGTTCACACGTGAAATTATACTTAATATCAAGAAGAAGGACATAGCAAGAAGGAACTGGAAACGTGACAGTACTAAGTTTTCTTATGATCAGTTCAGTAATTTTAGGAAGCTCATTAAGAACCAGATCAGTGTTGCCTACTCCGCTTACGTCCAATCGGTTGAGGATGCCATTGTCCATGATCCTAGCAAATTCTGGTCATTTGCCCAGATCAAAAAACAGCAATCTAAAATCACCCCAAGGATGACGCTTAACGGCAATGTCTGCGATACGCCTCAGGATATAGTGGACAGCTTTGCTACCTTCTTTTCAAAAGTTTTTATCCCGTCTGGTCTACTAGGGTCATCTCCTCCAACAAATAATTCTACCGATATCTATTCTTTAAAAAATATAAGTGAAGAAAACGTAATTAGGGCTTCGAAAAGATTAAAGAACAAAATGACGTCTGGATGTGATGGTATTCCATGTTTTTTCGTTAAAGATTGCATTCATATACTAGCGAAACCGCTGGCTTCCATATTCAACTTAATTCTAAAATCAGAGACATATTCAAATATCTGGAAGACCTCTAAAATATGTCCTATTCACAAAAGTGGAGATATCTCTGATATTTCCAACTATCGCCAAATATCAATCCTGTGCAATTTCAGCAAGTTGTTTGAGATCATCGCTTATGAAACGGTTTACTGCTCGGTCAGGGGTGGAGTCTCTATTAATTAGCATGGGTTTATGAGAGGCAGATCTACGGTCACCAACTTGGTTCTAATTACTCAGTACATTTCTGAAGTACTGGACGGTCAGGGACAAGTTAATGTCATCTACACAGATATTCAGAAGGCGTTTGATCAAGTTAATCATTATGCACTTCTGGATAAGCTTAAAACAGTGGGTGTGTCTGATGCAATGCTGTCGCTCATGAATTCATATTTGAGGGATAGAAGGTTATTTGTCGAATATGGTGGTCATAGGTCGAGTTACTATCGGGCCACGTCTGGGGTACCTCAAGGGTCAAATCTAGGTCCATTATTGTTTTTAATATTTATTAATGACTTGTCTTTTGAACTGAAGTGTTTCCATTTGTTTTTCGCTGATGACCTTAAAATCTGCACGTCAGTCAAGACAGTCGAGGATTGCGTCATGTTGCAAGATGACTTAGCTCTAATTTCGTCATGGTGTTCACGAAACTGTCTCAGTCTGAATGTTTCGAAATGCAAAGTTATAACTTATACAAGAAAAGTTAACTATTTAATTTATGATAATTATAACATCAATGGTCAGGTTATAGACAGATGCACCTCTTATAGAGACCTTGGAGTCATTTTTGATACCAAGCTAACGTTTACTGAGCATATACTCAATATCTCGTCGGCTGCCACTCGACTACTTGGTTTCTGTATCAGAAACTGGAAGGGTTTCTCCAATGTTGATACTTTAATGACTTTATTTTTTAGTTTTGTCAGGAGCAAGTTGGAGTACGCGACTCTGATCTGGTCTCCTATATACCAAAATTCTGTCGTGATCCTTGAGGCCATTCAACGTAAAGCTTTAAAGTATTTTCATCTTAAATGCACAGGTTCTTATCCAGAAAGAGGTTGTGACCATAGTGCCCTATTAGAGTTTTTCAATTTGGATTCACTGTCAACAAGACGAAACATATTTGCTTTGTCGTTTTTGTATGTCCTCATTCACAATAAAATTGACTGTCAAAATTTACTTGAAAAAATATGTTTCTGCGTTCCAAGGCTAGGGAGTCGACAACAAACGGCATTCTATTATCAAGCTGGCCGTACAAATGTTATGACAAAATCGCCAATTAATCTCACGTGCTGCGTCATGAACAGTGTTACTGAATCGTGTGATATTTACAGTGACAGTTGTGCATCGATTATTAACTGCTATAGATCATCCAATCTTATTTAGAATGTGTGATACTATAGATTTAAGTCCAAGAACCATGTCTCTTTAATTGTTATTTTTTTCAGCGTTTCCTGTAATTGGGTTTCACCTGTTGGAAATAAATAAATAAATAAATAAATAAATAAATAAATAAATAAATAAATAAATAAATAAATAAATAAATAAATAAATAAATAAATAAATAGTTGATATAAGTTGTGTTCATCAGTTTCGCGAAACTCCCCTACGTATGCTGTTCTGCTTGACTGTTGTACTTGATTGAAAACTTATAAAACGTCTTGATCAAAAGAGGAGTGTGACATACTAGTAAACAAGTATGAGACGTATGATTGTTTATGAGCTATAAAAAGCAGGGCCTATAAAAACAGAAAAGCCAAACGAGCTGCGTCGGATAAAATCAGAATGACTTTAGAACCAATTAGGCTTATAATCCAATGGATCCTGCACTAGAAGTTCTTTATTCAGCATATATGGAGCACACACATTCCCTGGTCCACCTCCGTGATTAATTTTCTGCACCAAATTCTTTTACGGTTTCGTTTACTTTGTTTTCCCATGAGGTGGGCAGCTACAACACAGACTGCTGCTGCCGCAGTCGCATATAATACTCGTATATGCGAATTTCGGGATCACTCCATTGTCTACAATTTTCTTTAAAGGTAAAGAAATAAAGTGGTAACCGTAAAGGAAGGTATGTTTAGAATGACTTTTACGTGATAAATGGCAGTATAAGTTAACAGTATAGTTTTTTTCCTACTTTCTGCGCATGATTTCGTACGAAATTTATTACAAACATTTATTCACGTTTCAGACAGGATCTTAGTTTGTAAACAAATTGGGAAATATATTCAGTAACGAATTTTATCACGAAATTTAGTACAAAATTATGAACAAAATTTTGTGTCGTGACAGACCGCCTTAAGGCTTAAAATAATCGCGAAAATCTGATGGATATTAAACTTTGTTTGAAAAGGATTTATCCACATTTGATTGGAAGCTTGCCTTTTCTACTTCCCACACCTACTGGTAAAGGAAGGATTGCAACTGTTAAAAAATAAAAAAGTGAGATATGTTTTTTGGATTTCACGAGGGATGTCTTTTAAGTTTTGCATATGGAAATAAAACAACACGGTAGGTAGTTTTAAATGACTATTGTTTTTCGAAGTATTCTCCACGAAGATTAATACACATCTGCATGCGCTCGAACCAATTTTCGAAGCACTTATTCCACTCGTTTGCTGGCAGATCCGAAACGGCATCTTTGAATGCGTCAACTGCTTCTTCTGGTGACTGGAACCTTTGACCACGCAGTCTGATTTTAATTTTCGGGAAAGCAAAGAAATCGTTAGGACTTAAATCAGGATTATATGCAGGATGGTCCAATAATTCCACGTTTTCTTCTGTTAAATACTGCCTTGCTTTTTGGACTGTGTGCGAGCTTGTCCTGGTGGAGGATGATTCTTCCTTCGGCGTTGATTTTTCGAAGCTCGGTGATAACTTTTGGCAAACAAATAGTGGTATACCAATCCGCAGTAACAGTTCTTTGCTCGTTACGAGAAATTGTTGCAATATGACCCGCTTTTGACACAAATGTCGCTAACATCTTTTTCGAAACACTTCGAGAACGGATGTCGTTTATTTTCTGGTTCATAACAGTAAATCCACGATTCATCACCACTAACAATGCTGTACACATTTTTTGAGTTTCCGGAATTGAAACGGTCAAGCGTTTTTTGACACCAAGTAACCCTGGCTGCTTTTTGCTCTTCAGTCAACAGGTGGGGTATCCAACGAGAAACTAATTTTCTTACTCCTAATGCTTCATGAATAATTTTTTGAATTGAGGTCTTTGAGATCTTCAAGGACGCCTCAATCTCGCGATATGTCACATGTATGTCAATGATGAGTTTGCGCACAGCATCGACGTTTTCCTGGGTGACTGCCGTTTTTGGTGCACCCACCCTGGGATCGTCGCTAAGACTCACCGGTCCACGTTTGAATTCTCCATACCAACGGGAAATTGTCGACTGATGTGGCGCTTCGTTGCCGAAAATAGACAGTAACCCAGCAAGGCATTCTTGTTGCGATAATTGTCTTTGAAAGTTGTAATAAATTATATCTCGAAAATGTTCTCGGTTGAGTTCCATTTTTTTAATGACTTGGTGACACTGTAGTGAGAACACTGCACGTATTGTTGTGAAACTTTGAATTTAAGTTTACTAAAGAGTGAGGTTAAGATTCAGTACTGGGCCTACTATGTTTCTATATGCAAAACTTAAAAGACATCCCTCGCAAATCCTTGGCCCGGCTATAACTTGGAAAGTACTGCTAGGATCTGGATAGAATTCTTACAAGAGGTTACAACTATGACAAGGATAAAAAGTCATTGTAATTTTCGAAGATTGGACCGGTGGCGGGAGATAAAAAAGAAACAAAGGAAAAAAATAAAAATTTTTAATATTTCAGGAGTAAAAAAATTGTTGGTGGGGGAGAGTCGTAGGGAGTGGGGGAGGGTGTATCGCAATTCTTTGATTTTGGAATATTAATACACTACTAGCTTCGGTAATTCCACGCACCTATTGGATATATTTCACATATCGTACTTTCCATGTGCATTTGCCTTAAAACCTAGAGAAATATTTACAGACGCGTATTGCGTCTCCTTCCTTTGTGTACAAAACCCTGTCTGCGTACACTGCGTCACTGTTCCTCTCGATCTCGAGTTGTAAGAGTGTTGCTAGATTCTTTGCGCGACAAAGGAGGTAGCAGGTGATACGATATTCATATACTAGGTGGGCACGATATTACCTGTGTATACTCGTACGAGCATTATGCTTGGAGTGTAGCTTAATAAGACTACTTGATTTCGTGAGGTAATATTATATAGTATGTATAGATAAGTACGTATCAGGAACTATTATAATCAGGTATTAAGCTCTGTTCGCAGTTTTACACCAGAACTCCAAAGGAATAAGGCTACCGTGTATGGACACTCTTATAGCTGCAGTCTGAGGAAATCTTGTTTCATGGAAATCCCAAATAGGATACAAATTATTCTCATAAAACTTACATCTTCTTGCAGTACATGGAAAATTGTACTAGAGGGCGTGGAAAGTTAATCTACTTGACACCATTTTTAAAGCCCATATAGGTAGTATTGTTGTTGAGAAACACTATTTCCTCATTTCCAACAATAAGTCCCTAGTCCTAACCTTGAACCTTTAAGCATCAACATTTGAAGCATATAAAAACATATAAAAATGACAGGAAAGGTAAAAAATATCTTTCCCCAGAAAGAAGACGACTTGCTTAATCTGAGGCGCCCTTATTTTCTTGCTTAATCGTTAAATTCGGTAAATGCAAGGTAATGTTTGCACATTTATAATCGCACTGGAGGGAATATCGAGCAGGAGGGGTAGGATGCCACTCAAATTCCGCTTCTTGCTTCTTGGAAATTCAGTCACATGGAATCACTTCACAGGAGCACAACGCTCTGTTAAAACACTTTTCCAAAGACAATGATTCTTACGTCGCTACTCGCTCACTATTTCGATCGTATTACCAATACTAACCAGTGCTTAAGTGTTTTATCTTTTAATTAAATCATGTGTTAAAAATTTCGATGAAAATGGCATGACACTTAATCAAAAATGAGGGGGGCTACGGCGCAGCAGAACGTGTCTGTGGGGTATCATCCAACCATATCGACGTATTTGTGACGAACACTGTAATAGGACTAGTTTATGAGGGAATTAAAACAAAATGATTTAAGGAAAATAACTTTTCGGTACAATCTGCGAGTCGTTCGACAACTTCAATAACATCTTCTTCTCAGATAAAGCCCACTTTTACATGAATGGAGATGTAAATATATACTAAGTGACATATAAATCCGAACACCCAGTTTAAATGGTTTTATTTTAATAAAAGTTGGTGAATGTATTTATCTTACTGTAAATAACCAGTGAAAAAATGTTCAGCCTTATCAGTTGGACATTCCGGTTTTTATACTGCTTTTGTTTAATTCACTAACGCTCTAAAAATGAATATTTCAGCCGCAGTAGAGAATCAACGTTGGCGGATTTTGGTTCTTGACATCCTTTACGATCGGTTACGATGCCTAGAGTACGGAGACCTGTACGATTTCGTCAACTTAGTGAGTTTGATAGGGGCCGTATAGTGGGACTTCGGGAAGCTGGACTTTCTTTTCGGGCAATTGCAGTTAGAGTGCAAAGAAGTGTAGACACTGTGGTTAGGTGTTGTCAGGCATGGCTTCGAGAAGGCCGTACGAACAACAGACCATGAAGATCGCCGCCTAAGATTATTGGCCTTAAGGGACCGTTTCTCCACTACCAGGTCCATTGCAAATGAATGGTTTGCAGAACACGGAAGACCTATTGGCATGCGAAGTGTTTACCGACGAATGAGAAGTTTTGACTTGTTTTCATACCGGCCACACTGGGTCCTCCCTTTAACTCGAGAACACCGACGTAATCGCCTTGAGTGGTGCAGACAACGGTCACTCTGGGATCAGGAATGGAACAGTATTGTCTTTAGTGACGAGTCTCGATTTTGTTTAGGCATGCACGATGGTCGTGCTAGGGTTAGAAGGCGACGTGGTGAAAGGAGGAATCCACAGTTTTTTGTTGAAAGACATGTTCATCACACTGTTGGAGTTATGGTTTGGGGTGCTATAGCTTATGGTTCCAGGTCACCTTTAATCTTCATCAGAGGTAACATGAACGCGCAGCGTTATATCCACGAAGTTGTAGAACCCCATCTTTTACCCTATCTTGACACCCTGGCAGATCCAACTTTCCAACAAGATAATGCCCGACCACATGTTGCAAGCGTCACAATAGAGTTCTTTCAACATAATGATGTCACATTGTTACCATGGCCACCAAGATCTCCCTACTTATCCCCAAATGAGCACGTGTGGGATATGATGGGTAGGAGATTGCTCAATTTGCAATGTCCTCCTTAGACTGTAGAAGCACTTCAAGAGGAGTTGGTGGTTGCCTGGAATGAGATACCACAGGAGGACATTGACCACCTGATCAGAAGCATGCCTAGGCGCGTTGGAGAATGCGTAGCACATCAGGGTGCATCCACACATTATTAAAGGTCAAAGGGCTTTAAAGCAGTGCAATCTTTTTGAAATTTTTATCATTTACTTTTTATGCTTCATTAAGTACTTATACAAAATTTTATTAAAATAAAACCATTTAAACTGGGTATTCGGATTTATATGTCACTTAGTATATAAAGTTGTAGATCTTAGAATAGGGAAAATTTTAAATTAAAACGCCAAAGTCCTCTGCAATCTCCAAAGGGATTGGGCGGCATTATTGGCCCGTACATTTTTACCCGCTGGAATTCTGTGACTGTCACCGAGAACTTTTTCCCACCACAGTTGCAGCAATGTGTTGGTTACAATAAAAGAAATTTCACGCAACAAAATGACGTGACCTGCCATACATCTAGAGCACATCTGATGTTAAGAGATATTCCCTAACAAACTAATCTCGCGCAGAGGATACATTCCATGGCCTCCCCGCAGCCCCGACTTATTTCCACGTGATTCCTTTACAAGTCGTGTTTATGCGAATATGCCAGCCGCAATACTCCAATTAAAGAAAACATCTGTTAAGACGTGAATAACGTGCCCGGCACTTTTTGTTGAAAAGTTTCTGAAAATCTGAGGGCCAGGTTTGAAGAGTACCATATTATTATTAAGGCTTGATGATCCAGGATATTTTTATTTTTTCAAATAGATACTCAGTTGAGTACAGTCTAATTTCATTTGTCAAAGAAATTTCAAAAGTGCAAAAATGCGTTTCTCAGAGAAAGTAGTAAAATAAAGATACCTTGAGAGATGAACTCAATAATAAGGAAGGATGAACATTTTCGTGTAGCTCCTTCTGTTGACAATAAGCCTGTCAAATCTAAGTGACAATGAAAAAACGACATCTCCACATTAAGAAGACATCGACGAAATACATTAAATTAATGTCAGTATCTTTGACATTTCAACTGGATGGATCACATGTTATCATCAGCGTAGTTTGTATCGCTTCAGATTACGAACATTTAGAGGATAATACCTACCTTTTGGTTCGTTCTGGCGCAGTCCCAATTTTGATAACCGTTCGATGCTGGCCGTCTGATGGTGACCTCCCTCCACCTCCCAGTGGCGGGGCCTGCTGGGGTGGCCTTTTCTCTGGTAACTGCAAACTTCGCGATCTTCGAACCCGTTGCAACTGGTCCTCCTGTTATCACATGATTACTGTCGTTTATGTGGACTGGATTTTTAGAATGCTTTGAATAAGAGTGACTACATATCAGACTGTTATAGTCCTGGAAAGTGGAACGGATACACGTACAGTCTGCGAAAACCAACAGTTTGCCAATTTTGGCTTAAGGTAAGATTAGAAATCGGTTTAAAAAAGTGATGTCAAAATTTCTTGGCGCCTTTTAAACCAAGGTTTGGTGCCCTCAAAAATTATAATTTGTTACCAAGGTTATAGGCACTATAGGCCCCATTTTTTGGGGCTCTTCAGACATTAAATCGAAAAAACGGGAAAATTTAATTGGAGCATTTTTTGTTCACATTGATCCAAAGACAAAATTGTTCGAAGAAAGAATAACATTGCAATTGTGGGTATATTCAATGCCTAAAAACTCGGTAAAAATTATAATATTTTTGGTCGCCAAGTATCTAAATTGAAGCTAAGACCTTGCTCTACAAGACCTTGAAGAGTATTTTGTCATTATTTTATTTTAAAGCAATTCGAATCTTGTTTTTGGGACCAAAACTGGCGATTTCTTCATTTTTGCAGACTGTATGCAAAAATGAAATAATCCCCAAATTTCAAAAACCATGTATACCGTTCCAGCCCAATTCATCACTTATCCATTTAGTGTTCATGGAATATTCATGCTTCGGATGATCAGGATAGCCTACGGCGCTTTCTGGGAGAAATGGGATATTTATGATTACCGTTGAAGGTGACCTTGACTGATAAGGTCTCGTTGAGGGTGTGTTTCTCCGCCCCTGTGACGTCGGCGGTTGTGGCGAGGGTGCCAACGGGGGTGGGGAACGGGACACAAACTCATCTTCGCTGCCGCTGGTCGATGAACTTGAACCTGGAACACAAAAAAATCATCCATTCTAGATAATCCTCGAGATAGGCTAGATTGAGACACTCCGGCGAGAAATATGATTATATTCTGTAATTGAATTCTTATGTCTACGATATTAACAGCAGTAAGCTTGATGTAGTTTTTTGCTTCAGTGATTATCTAAGATGAATTTTTCTCTTGTCTGAGAAGCACGTATTTCCAGATATTTATTTGGTCGAATTGAAATACAAACGAAATACTCGATGCCAGTAGCTCTCTCTCTCTCGCATTGAGAACATTTTGTTAGATCAGCTGTTATAGAAAAATGTTGTTTTGAATATTTAGGGTAGATTATTATCCTCTTTCTGAAAAACTTTTACTTTCAGAGCACGCTTAAATTAGCGAAGCTCTGCATTTAAAATTGATGCTCGGTTACTATAAGGTTTGTAACGGTTTCACCGTCCGATCGTATTTATTAAATCACTTCTCGATTATCATTTCATTAATCCCATCTCTAGCTTTTTTACTTGGAAAATTTTCCGCTTGGACCGCTTGATGCGGAGTTCCTGATCTGCGATCTTCCTCGCGCTTTTTTTTCACTTGAGCCGCCGATCGAACAAGAGCTAAGAATTTTCTTCTCTGTAGCACAAGGTCATATAGCACCATGTGCCAGAATTTTGTAGAATGTGTGTCCGTATAGGACAAAATGATTGGGGCCACCCCCTTCCCTTTCTTTTTCCCTTTCTCTTTCCCTTTCCCTTTGCCTTTGTCTTTGACTTTGCTTTTGCCTTAGTCTTTGACTTTGCATTGCTTAGCCTATCACTTCACCCTTGCATGTGCCTTGGCAGCGCCATCGCCTTTAAGTTCAACTTCGCCTACAACTGGTTTTGAAGCCACTATATGTGAGGTCACCCCTCATAACTGGGACCTCCACTTCAAGCACCTGACCATCCTCGCTTCAGTCGAGTCAAAATGGACCAGCGAAAGATAAGTTGATAGTTTTATAGCAGCGCCAAAGATGTAAAACTTATTTTGTTCTTTAAAACTGTAAAATTGTAATGTAATGGAAATGCTTTTTTTTTTGTTAAATAAAATCTGTTAAATTTTTGTGTTCTGTTTGTTCTTCTATCCTCTAGCCATGCCATGGTCGACACACAGCTACACGCCTGTAGATGTCTTCATGCCACCGACTGAGCTACCGGAAGCTAATGGTAACCCCCTTTCTGTGATTGTGCAGAAAAGTTGGAATCTTCATTGCATTCCATCTTTTCTGGACTTTTTGCGGAAAGGAAGCGTTACAGGTTATTTGAAAAATACTTTATTAATCAGTGCGTATGAATGAATCTTGAAATTAGAGGCATTCCGGCCACCATAAGGAGCCAGTGCATAGGCCGCTTAAGCGGGCCCTTATGCACTTCTACAATCCTTAGATCACAAGCCTGGCCCTTTTAGCGAAGTTAAGAATCGCTTTGAGTCCAAGCTCCTTGACGACCTGAGGGTCCAGAGTAATGGACCCCAGTATAGTCTGCCTATAGTAGCTCAGACCTTCATAACGACACAAAACGTACGCCGAGGTCTCTTCCTCTATCCCGCAGCGTTCACACAAGGGATCCTCAGCCACACCCATCACGTGCAGGTGACACTTTAACGTGTTATGGCCAGACAACAGTCCCACCAGCAACCTTAGGTTGGCGCTATCCAGAGATAGGCAGAAGCGTCCATCCTTAGCACTGGACCCTTCAATGAGTTCCTGTGCCTGGCGGAGATGTCTGGAGATACTTCTCCATTTCTGAGAGTGTTGTCTTGCAACCCACGGCTCCATTTTCCTCCTAGCTTTATGCCTGGTCACTCCTAGAGCTGGCTCAGGACCAACGAGCTTGCTGGCTGATTCTGTCTTCACCAAAGTGTCCGCCGTCACATTGCCCCTTATCCCAGCATTCCCCGGTACCCATATTAACGATACCGGATGCCGCGAGGCAATCCAGAGCTGCATTGCAATACAAGAGTCGAAGTAGTCTTACAGGCACTTAGTGCTTTCATTACAGCCTGGCTGCCGGATAAGATTGTTATTCTTGTCCTAGGCCCACCCTCCTCCAGAATGTGAGATACACAAGATCCAACGGTGGGAGATCCAACAGAGCTTCCATTGCACTCCATGGCGTTGTTCGCACTGCGCTTGTAATACTAATACAGGCCAAGTTGTCTCAGTTCTAATGCAAGGCCACCAGACCAGGGAGCCGTACAGGAGAGATGGACTTACTATCGTCGTGTAGAGGCCAGTATACCACTTTGGGTTTAAGCCCTCATCTTACCCCGACAACACGTCTACAAGCCCACATCGAATTGCGAGCCTTGCTAACCTTATATTTAACATGCTCTCTCCAGTTCAGTTTGCAATCCAGGATAATTCCCAGATATTTCACTGACTGGGCACAAAACTAATCTAGTCCCAAAGAAGGTCAGTCTTTTCAGCATTAACAGAAGGATCGACTTCCCTACATCACGATTCCACGGAGCGCAGAGCGCCCTGCATAATTTCCGAGACTGTTCTACAAAAACGCCCCCTAACAACTATGCTTACGTCATTAGCATAGGCTTGCACGTAGACACCCATACTGCTGACCCTAACGAGGAGTTCGTTCACCACGATACACCACAGTAGTGGTGACAGAACTCCACCCTGAGGGCAGCCTCTAGCTACACTCACGCCGCAGCTTACGTCATTCAGCATAGCTGTTGTTACCCGACCCTCCAGAGTAGATAGGACCCAATCTATTAGGATTGATCCAATCCCGTGTCTAAACAAGGCATGTCTGATAGAGTCGGTTGTGGGGCAATTAAATGCACCTTCAATGTCCAAAAAGGCCACGAGTGCCACTTCTCGCTGATCTAGAGTCTTCTCCAGCCTACCGACCAGATTGTGTAAGGCCAGATCAGTCAATTTTCCAGCTTGGTATGCAAACTGATTTGCATGAATGATACACCTTTCTAGTGGGCCATCCCTTAAGTATCTATCAACTATCCTTTCCAGTGTCTTAAGCACAAAAGATGAAAGAGTAATCGGTCGAAAATCCTGCGGGCCAGTATATCTAGCTCAGCCCGGTTTAGGAATGAATACCTCTTTAGCCTGCCGCCAGCTTCTAGGTGTGAAGCCCGTGGCCATACATGCTCGAAACACATTCATCAGGTAAGGAACAACCAAATCAGTGCGTATGTCAGTATTGTTAGTGAGATATACCTGCCTGTACCTCGGCAAGGGTATATTTTAGGGCCTACGTTTATTGAAATCTTTCTTATTTTCGACGTACTCTTTTTTTAATCGCTTTTAAGAATTATCTCAGTATTCTACTCAAAACAGTGTGATCTTAAAATCGATAGTACTACTGAAATTTTAGTTCAAAACCCAAATTCCTGGAGCGGTTACAAGATCAAGGTTAAGGAAGCTATACAAGTACAAAAATGCGTAAAATTCATCGAATCGTAGAAAGAAAGATTTATTTTAAGGTTGAATCTTTTTGTGCGAGGGATGTTCCAATAATGAATTACAGAAGGGTGACGGCTCTATCGATTGAATAAAAATTCCAGATTTCTCTCTGAAGGAAATACAGGGTGGCCGATATGTAACTGACTGGCTTATGTCTTGAATATTTGTGAAATGATTTTTTGTTCATCTTAGGCCCAATTTCACCAACAACAGTCCGTTATTCTTCACCTATGGGGTAACAGACCGTCAGATACAGCGAATGAGCTTCAAGTTCCAATCAACAAATTTTAGCAACCAATAGCTATGAACTGTTGAAAACAAAATACTGTCAAAGCATGAGATGACAACTTTTCATTGAAATATTACCAGCTTATTGAATATTAAGAAATTACATATAATTCATTCAGTCAAAATTTTAAGAAATGTTTGATTTTTGAATTAAATTCATGTTTTAATTACTATTGTTGATTTGTTATTCATGTTTATATTATTTTCTTCAATTGATATGTGATACTGGGTGTTTTTTCCTATAAACCTCTTGCAGATAGCCATTAAGCACCTACTTGATGACAGGCTCTACAAAAAGATATTGCTCGTTTCCAAACATTCATTCATTTACTTGCCGTTCATCAGAACCATTATGGCACCTTAGATTGATATTCCCACAAAACCATTCAGGTTTTTTGATATCCATACATCCATAAAGTTGAATATTTTTCGATGTTCAGGAACTGAACAAACATCCACACTATATTCACAACGATTAAGAAATTCCCAAATATATGCCTTAAAGCTACCAGCAAACCTATAAAACCTGCAAAAAAAACTAGAAATTTGCCATATTTTTCTTTTTTCACTAGTACTCATTCTTGGTTATATTTATATTAGACATTATTTGAATACAGCTGATTATTGCATTTCAAGGAGTGACACATGTGTGGGATCTGTCAACTCTTGGTACCAGTCACAAAACATATACTCTGAAGGTTTAATTCCATGCTGTTCAATGACAACACGGTGACTTGTGTGGTTGTCAGCGGCTATTTTGTGAGGGTGCGACAGGGTTGCCAGATTGTGCATTAATATCCCATTTCACCCTCCTGGTCCCACTGTTGAAATATACTCTACTCTGCTTTATGAGGCTATTCGCGACATTTTTCCCAAATTCATTGCACAACACTTGAAAAAATGCAAATGAAAATTTAAAATTATTTCCATGACGCCGCAGAATAGCTCCGTCGGTACCTTGGGTTATACATCTTGGCAGTAGGGATGTTCGATACGATCCTATATTTAGAAGTATCAATACATTTCCCGAGTATCGTCATCTTTCGATCCTGACTGTGTCAGAAGGAGTGACTGCCATTTGGCTGCGATATTACCCTGCCAAATCAGACATATCTTTCATCATTTTTAAAGAAATTGTACAAAATCTTCAAATTTGTGAAGTTAGCGAGTTTCTCTTCATACGTTCTTACCAGCCATGCCCAAATCATCAGCTACTGCCGTGATATTCATCCCGACCACTGCATCCCCACGG